AAAACATGCTCATCACCTCTAGCAATCAGAGAAATGCAAATCAAAACTACTCTAAGATACCATTTCACTCCAGTGAGAATGGCAGCTATTATGAAGATAAACAAGGCAAGGATGTGGGGGAAAAGGTACATTCATACATTGCTGGTGGGACTGCAAATTGGTGCAACCAATTTGGAAAGCAGTATGGAGATTCCTTGGAAAGCTGGGAATGGAACCACCATTTGACCCAACTATTCCTCTTCTCGGACTATACCAAAGGACCTAAAAACAGCATACTACAGGGACACAGCCACATCAATGTTTATAGCAGCACAATCCATAATAGCTAAACTGTGGAACCAACCTAGATGTCCTTCAGCGGAAGAATTGATAAAAAAAAAAAAAAGGTGGCATTTATACACAATGGAATATTACTCAGCAATAAAAAAAGAACAAAATCATGGTATTTGCAGGTAAATGGATGGCGTTAGAGAAGATTATGCTAAGTGAGTTAGCCAATCCCAAAAAAACATATGATATAAGGGAGGTGACTCAAAGTGGGGTAGAGAAGGAGAGCATGGGAGGAAGATTATTTCTAGATAGGGAAGAGTGGTGGGAGGGAAAGGGATGGGGAAGGGAATTAGCAAGGATGGGGGAATGTGATGGTCATCATTATACAAAATATATGTATGAAGATTTGAATTTGGTGTCAACATACCTTATATACAGAGATATGAAAAACTGTGGTATATATGTGTATTAAGAATTGTAATGCAAAAAAAAGAGTACATGTATAAAAAATATATTAATAAATAAATAAAATGGTAAAATGGACTTGAAAACAATATGATAGTTCCCTAAAATGCTAAATGACCCAGGAATTTCACTTCTAGATACATACACAAGAGAACTGAAAACATGTCTACACAAAAAAATATACAAATGTTCACACCAACATTATTTATAACAAGGTGTAAACAACTTAATATCCTTCAGCTGATAAGTGGGTAAAATGTGATATATCCACATAATGAAATATTATTCAGCTACAAAATGGAATGAAGTACTAATATGACTACATGATAAATATTGAATACCTCATGTCAAGAGAAAAAAGCCAGCTGAGTGAGGTGGCACATACTATAATCCCAGCAACTCAGGAGGCCGAGGTAGGAGAATTGCAAATTCAAAATCAGCCTTTGCAATTTAGCAAGACCATCACATTTTGAGTACCTGTCTCAGAATAATAAGTAAAAGGATTTGGTAAAGCACCCCTGGGTTCAATCTCCCCAATATAAACACAAAAAAAATTTAGAGAGTCGAGGAGGGAATGCATCAGACTCCAGGGGCAATACATTGTATGGCTCCATTTACATGAAATGTCAAGAATAGTGAATCTTTAGAGACAGAATATAAATTAGTGGTTGCCAGTGCTGAGGGATGGGAAAAGGAGACTGACCATCACCAGTGGTTTCTTTTTAAGGATGTTACATAATTAAATTGTGATAATAGTTGTACAACTATGCATATACTAAAAAACCACTGAATTGTACACATTTTAAAGAAGCCAATGTTCCAATATGTAAATTTTCTCTCAATAAAGCTAATATGAAAAACTTAAACCTCCCTTTATTATTTAAATGGCTCTCCCCTGACAAAAAAAACTTAAGTTTATAGAGTATTGTAATTCCTTTATGAGTTATACTTTCTGTCCTCATCTCCTACTGTTCCTCCCTGTACCACCTTCTGATTCTAAACATTTAATTAGATTTTATAATTTCATGCCTTTACACATACTCTTCTCACCATCAAGAAAGGCATACTCCACTCTTCCCTTTGTGGTAAATGCCGAATGTTTTCTCTGATATAAGGGAGGTGACTCAAGAACAAAAGCTGATTCTTTCTTTCTTTTTTAATATTTTTAGTTGAAGATACATAAAATAAAGGTATTGTGTCTATTTTTTTACGTGGTGCTGAGGATCAAACCCAATGTCTCACATGTGCTAGGCAAGCATTCTACCACTGAGCTACTACACCAGCCCCACAAATGCTGTTTCAAGAAATCTTTCCTACCTTCAGATCATCTCCTTTATGCTATAAATACTGGTCTACACATCTGCCCCCGCTAGTAGAGTTTGAACTCCCTAAGTTTACAAGACAGTATCATCTTAAGCTCCAGGACCCAATGCTTAGAAGCACCTATTAAATGATTACTAAATAAATACATGACAAAACACTCAATCGCTATTGATCCGAAATAGTATTAATTTTTCTCCAACTAGTGTAATTGGTAAAATCTATACAAATGTAACTTGAGTTCTGGCCTTTAGAGACCAATAAAATGAAATAAAAATACAAATTTGGGGCCAACATTGAGACTTAAGGAAATTACCATAAAGTAACATTTCATGGTGGTTCATAGTTTAGATATTTACCATTGTTGACTGAACATACTAAAGTCAATACTCTTTTATTCAACATATTAAATATGTTGTTTAACTCTGGTAACCACAGCTGTGACTTAGTTAACGATTTCAATAAATCCTACTTAAATAAGAGACAGGAAAAAAATTATGCAAATGAATTCTTATCTGTTTTTCTGCCCAAGGCATGTTTGATAACAGATAAAACACACTCAAACAGTCTCTACTTAATAGTCAGGAAACCATTAGAGATTTTATTTGGATCAAAATAAAATATAAAGAAGAAAAGTCTGTTATATTAACGAACAGTTTTATTTCAGAAAGAAATTACACATTAAAAGGGACAGGTAAAAGCTTACATTCACATATGAAAGTGAATCAAGAAAAGTCAATAGTTATTAATATACACATCGCATGATTAAAAAAGACAGTAACAGATAATGACAGACTTGCCTTGGATTCATCCACAAAATTATACCTTTTTCTTAAAAACAAAAAGGCATTATATTGGTCTTTAAGATAGCTCTTTAGAATTGAGTTGGTAATTCCAATGGACTTTAAATTCAAACCAATCACATCAGTCTCTATGTATCACATCCACATTTGTCAAAGCAGGATAGAAACCATTCAATTACACCTTGCAGCTAGACAGAATATCTTCCACTAATCTCTTGTAAACCCAGGCATCACCCTTAAGCCGCTGCCTCCGGATGCCCACCACATCAGGTTTTTGTAGCTGGCACACTTCTAGTTCAAACTGCATTGTCACTTTGCCAAAATCTGACTGTGTTTGACACTTCAGGGTATAGCTGTGAAAAACGAGATTAGATACCAGTTAGTAGGAGAATCATGACCATTTTGGATAATACAAGAGATTTCTAAGCTTCTAAAAGGCTGGTAGGGAAATGAGCCATTATTTCACGTTAGGCAATGTATTACTGCTTATGGTTTCCAAAAGGCCTAGGTATGCTTTAGTGATAGAGTATGACTGGTGTTTTCCCAGAAGCTAAAGGAAAATCCAAGATAGAAAAGGATGAAAAGGTTTTACCAGAATTCTCCCTTGCTCCAAAGAAAAGCCCTTCTTTCATAGCTATGCATGCCATTCATGCTCAGGAAATCTGGCATTCTCCATGTAATCCTTTCAGCAGTATAATCCAGGAACATTAGGACATTTCCACAATGTTCCCAACAAAGCAAAGTAAAAGGAAGATTAAAAATATTTTATGTAGTTGCACCTTGCTAGACAGTTCTTTCTTTCTTATAAATGAAGCAGAAGCCACCAACCCAACAGAACATGTATTTTAGAGGATTTTCTAATGGTAGTAAGAGGTAATGATCATTATAATACTTTATAGCAGAAAGGAAAGCAAAAGAAAATCTAAGGATATGATACATCCCCACAATTAAAACATAGAGCACTTATAGTTAGAACTGCCACGTTACCTTCCCTCACAGAAAGGCCCAGTTTAAGTGAAGCTTTAAATTTATCTTAAGAAATAGAAATTATCTTGGGGCTAGGGATGTGGCTCAGAGGTAGAGCGCTCGCCTAGCACGCATGAGGCACTAAGTTCGATCCTCAGCACCACATAAAAATAAAATAAAGATATGTGTCCATCTATAACTAAAAAATAAATATTAAAAAAAAGAAATGATCTTGAAAAGTTACATAAAGTGAATTCATATAAACAACACTATGTTTAAATTACATTGATTTTAGAGTTTTATCTAATTTCCAATAAAAACAAGGACTAATTTTAAATTTAGGTTCCCTAAATATTTAAAAGCTATAACTGGGCACTGTTTCGTTTTTTAATCTGTTATGTTTTATGAGGTTTCATAAATTATCATCATTCTTTGTCCTACTAGTTATGTTAGTCAAGTGTTTTGGGGAAGTTGCTTGATCACTTAAAAATAAGCAGTCAAACAAATAAAAGTTAATAAGAAGTCAATATCAGAAGTGCCAAAAGGAGCACCCTATAGTTAAGGTTCTTGATAAAAAGATGAAGCATAAAATATTTAGTTTAAAAGCAATTTATCCTAACTGGAAAAAGATAATAATGTAATATGACAGAGATTATAATATTACAACAATGAAAAAACTTTTCTTTCTACTTTGTCACAAAGATGTTGAAAAACAAAGAAAAACGAAAGGGTCAGGGAAGAGACCCATGTGGTTGCTCAGGAAGTTAGGAAGACAAAGTATTGATTAACATCAGATCACATGCTGAAGCAATGATCAACCAAAGCCTTGTGACAGAGACTCAGTCAGAAGTTCTGTATGAAAAATGATATGTCAAGAACTTCGTAATGTTTTGAACAACTAATAAAAAAAAAAATTAAAAAAAAAAAGAAGTTCTGGAATCACACATATGCCCCTAAGCATGAAGAGAACAGAGTAAGTTAGAGAGATGTGTTCTAAAGAGGCCAAAAGAAGAAAACCCAGGTTCACATTAGTAATGTTTGTCAGCATTTGCAAACAGAAACAAGTAAAGCTATGTTTGGGAGAAAAAAAAAAAGAAAAAAAAAAAAAACAGTCTCTTAAAATCTTACTCTTTACTAACTATTCTATTTACACATTTTTGTTAAATCTTTTAACAGCTGTTATATTTGGGATTGGAGTATCCCCCAAAGGATCATACTTTGAAGGCTAGGTAATGGGGTTTTGGGAAGTGATTGAATCATGAGGGCTCTGAGGACAATTTCATGGCATTATTAGGAGGCAGTAGAAACTATAGGAGGTGGACCTGGATGGGAGTTAGTCTTTGGGGGCATGCCCTTGAAGACTACATCTTGTTCTCCTCTCTCTGCTTCCTGGCTTCCATGAGGTGAGTTATTTCCCTCTCCCGTGCTCTTCCCATGATATTCTGCCTTGCCTCAGGCCCAAAGCAATGGAGCCAGATGACCATGGACTGAAATGTGATCCTGTGAGCCAAATTTGTCTTGATGACAAATTTGTCTTGATGCAGTGAATCTACTTAGTCACTTTAATAAAAACATTTTAGAGACATAAATTAGTGGAAATTGCTTAGAAATATGAAGATCTTGGATAAGCAGAAGAGGTCTGGCTGTTTGGACCATGAGACTGTCATCAAGGAGTCAGAGTACTCAAAAGCAAGAAAAAAGTTTAAGTTTAAAGTACTGAAAACCCAGTACTATGAGATAGCCAATCACAAAGAGAAGGATTCTCTATAAATTTTTGATTTATTCAAAGTGTCTAATTCATTTACATTAAAATTTATACACATTATAAAAATCTATAAATATTGTTGTAGAATAGAGAATCAAAGGAACACAGGATTTAAAAGAAAACTGGTAGTTCAGATATTCTCATTCCAAGATAAAAGTTTAACTTCAAAAGGGGTGCTTATGGGCTAGGGTTGTGGCTCAGCGGTAGAGCACTTGCCTAGCATGTGGAAGGCCCTGGGCTCAATCCTCAGCACCACATAAAAATAAATAAATAAAATAAAGGTATTGTGTCCAACTACAACTAAAAAATAAAATATATATATATATAAAGGGGGGAGAGTCAAGATGGTGACAGGGAAAGGCCCACGGAAGGGTCCAGTCTGAGAGAGAGGAGTCAGACAATGAAGTCAGGAATTACCAGGAAATTTTTTTTTTAAATATTTATGTTTTAGTTGTAGTTGGACACAATACCTTTATTTCACTTGTTTATTTTTGTATGTGGTGCTGAGGATTGAACCCAGGGTCTCGAACATGCGAGGCGAGCACTCTACCGCTGAGCCACAACCCCAGCCCTTACCAGGGAATTTTAACAAATTATGCTTAATGGGGCCTGCTCCGGCCATTCAAATTCGGCCGCTCCCTGTTAGAAGGACAAATTTTAACAGGTATTCTGAACTGRTGATGACCTTCCTTACTCCATTCCAGCGGGAAGTTAGAAAGGCACGGGAAACTGGGAAGATATTAGTAGCTTTCAACTTTCTCCAGTTTTTGAGAGGTCAATGATCAAGACCAATGTGTTTGCATCTATGCGGTAATTCCATTTAAAACTATCAAAAAATTTAAAAATGCTTTAAAAAAGGGGGGGGGTCCTTAATATCTCAAATAGAAGAGAATAAATTATGAACAATGATACTACCATAAAAGCTTTTCAAAAAATAATGGGAAAAAAATTTTTTTAAATGGTAAGATGGGAAGAGAATCAACTCACATTCTTTGAAGTCTAATACAGAGTAATAAATGCAACAGTCTCTAATTTTGCTTCTTACCCCTTTTGTACATAGTCAACATGCTTCTTTGGAAGAATAGACATTATTTCATTCAAGAGTTGATCAGGATTCACTAATCTGGTTGTAGTCACATTATAGTGAAGCTATTAAAAAAAAAAAGGAACAAGAAGTAAACCTTTACATAAGCCCAAAGACCATCCTATCTGACCTAGAGATCCAAAATTCCTCAATATAACATCTTTTCAAGCAGAAATATTTCAAGAAAAATACTGAAACAATTGACAGCAAACTCGGTTAATTCTATTAAGATGGTGCTAGGGAAGCTTGGAGAAACAATGTTTATTAGGAACTTCATCCAAGTTATTCCACTCTATACTTCCATCTTACTCTCTTGCCAATTTCATCCTCCTCCCTCCTTTCCCGTCCCCCAAGGAGGTTTCACTGTTTCTGAGACTGACCTCAAATTTGCAGTCCTGTGTCAGGATCCTCAATAGCCCATTCACCACCATGCCAGACCTAATCAATATTTTTTAAGACATAAATATTTAATAGCTTCAACTTACCTGTTTAAGCTGTACCTAATTCTACCTTCTCATATCAAGATAAAGACATTAATAGTCCTAAAATGTAAACTGTGGGAATATGAAACAAATGCCCTAGAAAGTTTGCTTGTATATAGTTGGATGTTTCCTTAATTCTTTCTGGAATATTCAAAGACTATAATAGGGGGCTGGGATTGTGGTTCAGCGGTAGAGTAGTCACCTAGCATGCACAAGACGCTGGGTTCGATCCTCAGCATCACATAAAAATAAAAACAAATAAAAATAAAGGTATTGTGTCCAACTATAACTAAAAAAATTTTTTTAAAAAGATTATTACAGAATTCTAGGAGCTGATTCTATGACAATTCAATAAGGAAATGAATATAATAGGTATTCCTTTAAAAAAGTAATGTTATTTTTGTTCCTCATTGACTGAGATCATAATTCTAAGATAATCATTCATAATTGATATCCATATATTCACTTATTCAACAACTATTTACTAGAGTCAGGTGCAGTGGTGCACACCTAACAAGTAGGCAACTTAGCAAGACTGGGCTGGGATGTAGGTCTGGTAGAACATCCCTTGGTTCAATCCCTAGTACCACAAAAAAAATAAATAAATAAGCAAACAACTATTTTTTGATATATTGGATACTTATCACATGATAGACTCTGTTTACTAGGTATTGGAAAAGAACAAAACCCGCACATTCCTAGTAGTTCTCTTACTGCCAAAATCATACTTTCTATGTCTTTTTGAGATTTGAGTTATTTTTATAAATAACAAAGTGCTGAGGTAGAAAAGAACCAGCTTCCTTAATTTTCAAAATTAAGACGTATGTGCCCCAAAGAAAGAATGTAAATTTAAGGTAGAGTTTCCCATAGTGGGGTATAAATTATCACTGGAGATATCCAAGAAAACTCAGATGGCACATGGAAAAATATTTTTACTTTAATATTTACATATTTGTTTCAATCTGATCTGTAAAAATTAACAAAAACAAATAACAGTTTTCTTTTAAATAAATTTAAATTTTAAAAAAGATAGTTGTAAAACAATAAAATCAATAAAATATTTTAAAAAAGAAAAAACTATAAAAAATTTTAAAATAAAAATAAAAAAGGTAGTTGGTTCGATTGTGTTAAGTTTACAAGCATATATAAATATAATGCCAAAGCATATTAATTGTACTTTTCAGATATGTACAGCTTATTATGTCAATAATACCTATATAAATCTATTTTTTAAAAGAAGATCACCATAAACAAAATATCAGATCAAAAATAGTTCAGAGGATATGTCAATAAGCAAATGTTGTGAAGGCAAGTGTTTAATGGTTGGAGTTTGGGAACCTCAGCTTCAAATTACAAAGGGAATAAGCAGTACAATCAGGATGGGACCATCTATCTCCTAGCTTCCAATCCAAGGCTCATCATCAAACTAAATTAGTTCTGTTAAGATGGTAATAAATCACACATTTCCAAATCACAATCTATTGCTTTCAAAAAATAAAGAATAATCCTAATTTATCTCTTTAAATTTGAGATTTTTTTAAATAGATTGCTTCCTAAAAGTGGGCTTAACTGCATATGACTTGCTATCTTAAAAACTAAAATTAGGTAGGGTGCACACCTGTAATCCCAGTAGCTCAGGAGGCTGAGACAGCAGGATCAGCAAAATCGAGGCACTAAACAACTCAGTGAAACCCTGTCTCTAAATAAAATACAAAATAGGGTTGGGGATGCAGTTCAATGGTTGAATGCCCCTGAGCTCAATCCCTGGTGCACCCCCCCAAAAGAAAACTAATTGTTCTACTATTCTTAGAAGCTTTCTATAAGTTTATTTTTTTAATATAAGAAGTTAGTAGAAAAAATGAGATTTCCTAAAGCCAGTCCTTCAGGCCTTCAAAAACTTACTGCATTAAAAAGACTCAAAAAGGCAAAGTTATATCAAGCTTCAGATCTTCGGTTTGTGCTAATTAAGACTGTGGTTCTGCTATACTGGGGTTAAAATGCTCAACAATGATAAAAATCCCTAACATTGGAATGATAGGTTATACTAATAAAGCATTCCATGTGCAATGCCATATCCAATTGTACAGCTTGTTTGTACAGTTCAGCTCTATGAGGTTGCCAGGGTAGGCATTATCTCCAGATTACACAAATGAAGAAACTATAGAAATCAGGATAAAAGTACTTGTCCAAACTATACAATACAAAACTTGTGCTAGAACCCAGGTCTCCTGATCTCCAATCTTCATAGTTTTTCTTCTACATGGGGGAAGTGCTCAGAGACTACCTGAAACACCAATTAACACCACAGCAGTTTCTTTTGAAAAATGCAGTGAGGTTCCAAACAATATACATGGGTAAAGTTTTAGAATATTACCCGTTAATATTTGATATCTGCTTAGCTTCTCAATAATACCTGTAGTTGGACAACTTTCTTTAATTTTACTTATTTCATGTTTTTCTTAATCCCAATGTTAGAATTTGAAATACCGCCTGTCTCCAAATAAAGAAATCTCAGAATAAAAGAATAAAATATGTATAGTGAATAAATAGCCATACATTACATAAAATTTCCCAGTGTACTATCAATTCAACAAGACAACAACCAATACTAATTGGCAAGTCCCATCTTCCATTTTGAGGCAGGGCATAAATGGGACTACAGAACATTTTCTTCACAAGCACCTTTCTGACCAACTGCTCAGCATTTTCCTAGACCATGCAAAATTACTCAAAGTCTTGGTACAAAAACTAAACACAGACCCAGTCCCCAAATCATAAGAACTATCATCCTTCCTTTGGGTCCCCCCCTCTTGGAACTTATAGTTATTACAGCACTGAACCCAGGGTGTCAGAGTAGTGTTCTAGCTTGTTTTCAATGCCACTCTATGGGTTCCTCAAGGGAATGAGCTGTGTCTTATTCATCCCTTTACCTCTTACTTCTTCCCTTCCACCCAATAGAAACACCATTCATTGGATGTTTGAATGAATGCTCAGAGAGAATCCAAGAAGAAGCATTTTATTTAAAATAAGCAGTTTATTTTTCCTTTCCTTCCCTACTAAATATATTGTTCATACTACTCACAGATTAACCCATTTTAAGGCAGACACTTCTATCAAAAAAGGATCCAAACCTCTTAGCCAGGCCCTTTAGGACCTCCTGGCCTTCCTTCCCAGCCTGTTCCTCATTATTTTCCTCACACACCTGACATTCAAAGTTTAAATCAACTTCTCACATATGCTAATATTTTGTGAGGGCCTTCCAAGGTACCTATGTGGCAGGGACTCTTCTATGTGCCAGAGATACAACAATTAAGCTCCAGCCCCCATCCTCAAGGCAGCTCTTCATTCCCCATGCCTCCCCCCCTCCATGTTGCCTCGGTGATTAATCCCTCCATCTGATCTTTAATATTTAAATTATAGTCATATGCTCTTTGAAAGAATTTATGTGATTTACCTCTACATTCCGAAAGTCCACTGCATAGGAAAATGCATATAGTAAGTGCTCCAAAATTCAGGGGAAAGAATAAGTAAATAAAAAACACCAATCAGTTCATTCAGTATTTTTCTTAAAAACAAACAATAACAGGGCTGGGGCTGGGGTTCAGTGGCAGAGCACTTGGCTAGCATGTATGAGACACTGGGTCCAATCCTTAACACCACATACAAAAATAAGTAAAATAAAGGCATGCTGTCCATCTACAACTACAAAAAAATAAAATAAAAATAAAAAGAGAATAACAAAAGCAATCATCTTCTGAAATCTATATTAGAGAATTCCAATATACTTACCTTTAGCCTTCTTGGCCCATCTTTGGCAGTGCCCTTCCTTTTGCTCCTGGTAAGTACAGTGATGACCTTATCCAACCCCCTTTCAAGGCTCCCAAACACTTTGGTTCCTTTTCTTTTTGGAGTATCCTCCATATGTGCCTGGTTAAGATCTAGTTCCACTGAGCGGCACCTTAAAAAAACAAAGTACAAGTAGCATTGGGCTCCCCGCCTGCTGGGCCCTTACAGGCCCTGTTGTGTCCCTTTACACACATTGGAGTGCCTCAACCAGGTATGCCTGGGCCAGATCATCTCATCCTCAGGGGAACTAAAGCCATATCCCACTGGAGAGGAGTCAGTCCCCTCACCCCAAGCAAGTGCTAGTTGACAAAACTACACCCCCCCCTTTTTAATAATATCAAATATACTAAAAAATGGGAATAATAATACAACAAACACCTATATGTCCTCCTAGTTTCAACAACTGTTAGTATTTTATCACATTGGTTTTCTTTAATGTGTACAAATACATTAAATGTATGTGAATATTTGCTGAGATATCTGAAGATACCATGACACTTCACTCTGAAACATTTCAGTATACATTTCCATAAGAATATGGTCTTACATAACCACAATATCATTAGCACATCAAGAAAATTAATAATAATTCTACAGGGTCATTTACACGTTCTAATCACTGTAACTGTCCACCAAAATGTATCATGCTTTTAAAAAAGTTATAAAGACAGTGACCCTTATTGTTGCAGAATATTTCATCCTACAGTGGTGGGTTTTCTTTGAAACACCCAGTTAGTATCTCTACTATCTGGGGGAAGCTGTTGTGAGTAGATACCTATGCTCTACTGGCAGATGAGCAAGGAAAGATGAGCCTCAGAGAGGGAACTCTAGATAGCTGGAGGCAGGGCCATTGTCTTCCCATCTGTACTTTAAGAAACCGTGCCAGTCCCACTGCTAATCAGTTATAATTCCACTTCATGAAGAAGGCAGAGCCAACAGCTCTGGTAATGGTCACAGACCATCATCTTGCAGACATTCCTATAGAGTATATATGTCATGATTCCCCTTAATTAGAGTTATCAAAGATAAAAAGAGAAATCTCATTACATATACCAAAAAAGCTCAGAGTCTGAAAAACTGAATACCTACCGCCTCTCAGGGCTAATGACACTTGTCATTAACTTGTCTCTTCCTGCTGAATTTCCTGATGTTTTAACTGGGGTTTCTTTCAGATACTGGTTTCTAGCTATTAGAAAAAACAAAAAACAAAAACCATACGTAGATGATGTACTACGGTTCCAAAATTTCTACCAATACTGTATATATTACCTATTGACTTGAAATATTGTTACTATTTACCCAATGATGTTAAAGACTCTAATTCTTAAGGTTTTTTTGTACTAGGGATTAAACACAGAGGTGCTTTCCACTAAGCTACAACCACAGTCTTAAACCCCAGTCTTTTTTGTTTTAAGACAGGGTCTCGCTAAGTACCTAAGGCTGGCCTCAAATTTGAAATCCATCTGGCTCAGCCTACTGAACTGCTGGAATTACAGGTATACTGCCACTGCACGCAGCTCAATTTTTTAAAAAATATTTATATTTTAGTTGTAGTTGAATACAATGCCTTTTATTTATTTATTTTCATGTGGTGCTGAGGATCGAACCCAGGGCCTTGTACATGCTAGGTAAGCACTCTACCGCTGAGCTACAACCCTAGCCCCCCAGATCAAATTTTTAAAGGAAGTATATCCATGTGTTTTATAATAAAAACAAAATCATTTTGTCTTTGATGTGTGGCTCTTCTTTTCTTTCCTGCAAACGGAGGCCATATATTTTATGATATTATTATGATACATCTAAATAGATCATACAAATATAGATTTCATGATTAATGATTCTTTCTTCTATAAATAAAAATCAATTTATATTCATTCAAGGGCCCCAGTTTATGCCATAATTGATGTAGCATTATAAGGTGTTAATTCCATTCCCAGCCCTACTCAACTTCTGTTAGGCAAAGTGATCAGTCCCCTGAAAATGCTTGATAAAAATTATTAAAGAAATATGAGGGCTGGGGTTGTAGTTCAATGGTAGAGGGTTTGCCTAGCACATGTAAGACACTGGGTTCAATCCTCAGCACCACATAAAAATAAATAAATTAAATAAACTTTAAAAAAAAGAAATATGAGCTCCATTATTTTTTATATTTCCCAATTCCTGAATTTTGTGCTTTACTTTATTTAGGGTATTTGAATCTCAAGATAGTTTGTATCAATTTTTCAGTAACAAATCTGGTTACTACTAAAGAGTTAACTTTTCATTCATGATCTAAGAGTTTTATACCTTTTAGAAATAATATTTATTTTATAATAACAAAGATATGATATCAAGTTTTTCAAGAGAGATTGTAGGCTTGATTTTATTTATAAATATTAAGCTTTATTTTCTCTAGTTCCACAATAAGAAAATAAGAGCAATCAGAAGTACCCATGAAAATAATTTTCATCTTTGTGTCCTGAAAGTATCTGCTACTACACATAGCTGTCCTCTGAAAACTCTCACTGACTGGATTGTGCAGGAGTCACAAAAATGAAATTAATGTTTGTGTCAAAAATAACTCACAGCAAAAGTAAAATACACTAATGGAAGCTATCAATTATAGCTTCAGCCACTTTCCCTCTTAGGCAGCTCTTACATTTAAAGAAAAACAGCTAATAAAAGCTTTTTGACCAACACAATCTCACAGGGACAAGATACGTTAACTGATGACACTTCAAGATAATAAATTTCAAACCATTCACATTTAAAAACCTTCAGTTACATAAAAAGTATCAATAATGGTAAAGATTATATTGTTAACAGGTTTTTTAAAAATCCACTAATAAAATAAGGTGAGCTAAGGTTCATCTTATTTCCCTGACCAATCTATGACTCATAAAAGACACTATAGTTATATTGAGAGAAATAACAGAGGAATGAGATACCTCATTGGAAAAAGATAAAATCATAGCAACCTTGGGATCCTACTACATGTAGCTGTTATCACATTGAACCCTTGTAACACAGGAAACCAAACAAAAACACTCATCACACAAAACTGGCCTCACATTTTTTGGGACTTGAATTGATAAAATAAAAATGCCATTAACACAATAATGGGACTTCTAGCAAATAATCAGGCAAAGTCTTCCATAATATCTTTATGGATAATAGATTGACCACTGAAACTGGTTATCAACTCCATTAGCAAACTAGAAGCACAAAAAGCAGTTTAGCAGCAGTTCACAAGGCAATGTTTCAGAATTTGAGTTCCCAGGATTTTAAAATAAAACAAGGGAAGGTCATGATTACTGGAAATAAGGCTAATAAAGCTTATGTGTCATTTTTAAAAGAAACATGGACTGGCTCAAGGTAAATAAAATTCATTTAGGCCCTAATTTATTCCTTCATTTGGCAAATATGACCCTACTACATACTATGCACAGCTATAATAAACATGACTGAGTCTGCTGTCATGACACTACCTTATCTTGGTAAGACTGTCTTATCTTGTTTAATTTTCTTAGTAACCCTAGAAAATTGGGTTTTTATCCTAAGTACCATATTTTAAGAGGCACATTGACAAAAGTAGAATATATCCAGCTGAGGCCAGTAACCAAAGGGTTAAGGGAAACCGTTTAAATAACTGGTAATATTTAAACTAAAGAGGAAACCAAGGGCAATGAGAGTTGTGATTACTAGACATAGACTTAGATACCTAAGGGACATCACAGATTTACCCTATATACTGTGTTTGGCGAGTAATAACAACAGGGAAAACAGGACCAGAAACCAGATGTGGAGATCCAGATGAGTATCCAGAAGGGTTCTGCAGAGACTTTGGTTTGAGTCATTCTAAATGGGAATAACTCAGCAAGCAAGGTCTAAACCTGAATATATGACCTTAGGAAAATCACTTCAGCCCTCTGAGTCAGGTTTCTAAGATGTGAAAAAATGAGAGTTGGATTAGACAAGCTCTAACTTGCTCTTTCAACTGTGCTACCCTATGATGCTATGATTCAATATTTTAAATGTGGAGAAAAAAACCCTCAGTATTATTTGAGAATGATTAGAAGTTAACTAATATGCTTTCATTTCAAATAATACAAATAGCATACAATAAGAAGCAACTTGACTTCTAGAAATTCCTGACAGCAATGCTAGTAATTTCTGACCTGATGATATGTTTAACACAGTACGAACAATGAAATCTGAAACATTTTGATCATTGCCTAATTCACTTAGCATATACCTTTTGAGGGTGTAGTGTAATGATTTGGTGTTGTGAGTACTTCTCTTTTATGCTGGTTCTTATTAACTGGAGTCTTTGGCTCAGGAAATACAAAATATTCTTCATTCTTTACAGCAGATTGTGGAGTATATACATTCTCTTTGTTCTTTAATTTATTTGCAGATGACTTGCATAATCCTGGAGTTAATGATTTAGACTCCAGACCATTTGATTCTGTCCAGTGCTTGGTAAACTGGAAAAAAAGAAAGTTACCAGACAAAGCACACTGAAAAAGAAAAGTCAATTTTTTTGCAGCATGCTTAAATCATTTCCAAAGTACCTTGCACTATTTTTATTAAAATTAAATACTACCTGGGTTCGAACCTCAGTACCACACATTTTAAACATCAGATACTATCAAAAGGTTGTTATCTGTGGTCCATTTGTGTACAATGTGTCAAAATGCATTGTACTGTCATATATATAACTAATTAGAACAAATTTAAAAATTTTTTTTAAAGGTTATTATTGGCCATACCAGGAAATTTGAAAATGTATATCCAGTTCTTTTTAATTCATGTAGATTATTTTATTTTAGTCTGTTCTACTGACAAGTAACATAGATCTATATACCAGGAAGGGAGGATTTAACCACTTAGCTACATGTAAATTATGTTTAAGTTGTTTTTTTTTTGTTTTTTTTTTTTTTAAAGGAAGAACATAGTGCTACAAAATGGAGTCATGGCTTTTCTTTTTTCTTTGGTACTGGGGATTGAACACAACCTTGTTCAATCCACTGAGCTACATACAGCCCAATCCCTTTTTAATTTTTATCTTGAGACAGGGGCTCATTAAGTTGCTGTGGCTGGCCTGAAACTTACAATTCTCCTCCCTTAGCCTCCTGAGTCACTAGAACTATAAGCATTCACCACCACACCTGGCTCAATCTTGGTTTTTTTAAACTTGATAATAATTGCCTTCCCTTTCATTAATATTCCAATAATCTCTCAATAATATTTTCAGTTGTTATTCAATAAATCTGCAGTCACACACTTGATCTCATCATGTTAGTCTAGGTGTTTTTATAATTGAGGCCTATTCTGCCTTAAATAGTAATAACAACTACTAACCTGTGGTGTTTGGGGAGTTGATAAATTGTTTTCACACCATTCATAGTCTATTAGTCCAGCCACATAATTTTCATCACTTGTCACATCTTCCAAGCTCAGATTCTTTGACTATTGAATTAAAAGATAAAATAAATTAGAGATAATAGCAACACTGTTTGATTTTTAAAACAGTATGTTCCAGGCACAGAGGAAGGTCCTGAAGCAGAAACAAATAAAAGACAGGAATTTGGATGAGCTCACCATCAAATACAAAAACAAGTCAAAAGTTTTTATTTTAATTTTCAGGAGACTCTCACTCTCAAACAATGTGTCTTAGAACATTCTTTTTTTTTTTTTTTTTCAGAGTAGAAATTAGAAGTTTATTAAAGGACAGCAGAAAAGACTTCTTCCAGAGGAAGAAGGGGATCCAAGAGGTGGAATCCGAGGAAGTGCAGTTGTCTCCCCTTTTTATAGTTCTTTCAGTGATGGAATGTAGGTGGGAAGGCCTGAGGGGTGGGACACAAGTGGGCCAAAGAAGTAGTCTGAGCAAGAAGGACTTCATTAACACTTCTTTGAGATGGGCTATCTTCAAATCTGCTGGGGGCTGTTCATTAACACTTCTTTGAGGTGGACTTTGGCCTAGGGCCTTTTCGGACTTCATTAACATTCCATGAGTTGTCTGGCGTTTCCTGGAATCACTCTCAGCATGGCCTCCATTTTAGATTTCACTGGGTATTAGACCCGATTTACCTAACTACACTGACTACCTAACTTTAAATCTAGTTTCCTTCCCCCCTCTAATTTGGGAACTCCTTACTGCTGTAAGGAAGTGGGGCAAAGAAGATCTTTCTGGCTGTCTTAGAACATTCTTAAGTTATATGGCATACTACTTACTTAGCTTATCAGTATCATACAATCACTACAATATCAGACAACTTGTTTGTAAATTTACAAATAAAAAGCTTTGATAAAGCAGAAGATGGAAAGGAAATGACTTTTGAAACTCAGGTATTTTACATAAAAACATACAGAACATTAATTATTTCTACCAGGAGTAAATTACTCTTATGAAACATCTCCCACAGACATGACACTTGGGGTTCTGTGCTAACACTTTCATCAGCATTTAACATATTCTCCCTCATTCTTTCCCCTTTATAAACAAAGGGTATACCACATTCACCCTAAAGTCTCAGAGTATGGAGTATTATTGTATTTTTTTTTAAATTTCTCCCTCCTTCTTTTTCCTTCATCATGCTAATCTGGCCAAGTAAGTTTACCTGAATTTATTATACCTCATCCTTCTTTTCTAGACCCACTGCCATTACTCCAGGACAAAGCTTATACCTGAACTATGCAGACAATGTGGCTTTGCTAACTATCTTTCCATTCCCACCCTTTCAACCAGGTGACAGAGTTCTACAGAATTGCCCAATTAGAACTGGCTGCATGTAATGCAAAGATGAGGAAAATACTAAAGTTAAGTCTAGGCTCAGTGCGGGAAAGTTCAATATTGTATAAATGATGGCCGTCATGGGTCTTGCAATAGGTAATAACTAAACACATACCATCCCTGACTGAACAATTCTATATATCACAGGTAAATTTTTCGAAATCATAGTCTTATCTCTTCCTTGCTCAAAAATCAATGGTTCCTGAGCTGGGGTTGTGGCTCAGTGGTAGCGTGCTTGCCTAGCATGTGTGAGGAACTGGATTCGATCCTCAGTACCACTTAAAAAATAAATAAATAAAGATCCATCAACAACTTAAATAAAAGAAAGAAAAACCTTTATATTAAAAAAAAAAAGTTAATGGTTCTCAATTACCTATTGTACAAAGTCTAAAACTCTGACATGCTCTCTACATTCTAGCTCTTCCCCACTCTTCCAACTTTCTTGTTCTCTCATTCTTACTTTTCCCCTACTTGAACTTTTGATTTTAAGCAAACAAGCCTAGTTACTGTTAACAGAATACATTAAGCATTATGATGTGCCTAAGCTTTTGCTAATTCTATTTATCTTATCCTGATTACTATGCTCCTTCTTTTCCTTTTTTTAAAACTCAGCTGAGTCAAAGTGAGTCCAGTTTCAAACTCATTTTCATGGTTTTCACAAAACTTCTCATGGTTATCACTCCTGCTCTCAAAATCCCCTACAGCATAACTTTAGCCACTTACCTGGCAACCATCTGGCCCTATAATATAGTGTGACAGATAGTCAGACAGATAGATCAATCATACCTCAACTTGACTGTTAAAGAGCAAGTATCGCACTTTATATAGATTTGTTTCCCAAGATCCAGCATGGGGCCTGAAATGCTAACAATGCTGATGATGGTGTGATCTTTTATGAATCTTGGATCAGATTGTATTATTGTTTCACTGAATGTGGATTCTATTGTTTGATAGTTCAGAATTTTTGAGGAAAAGGGTTATTTTATCAAAGGAGAAAATAGTACAAATAGATCATGTGGCTTGCTTCAAGGCTCAATGATTTGAATAAAGATCAGAAGAAGACCTAAAATGTACATCCACACGAATGGGGTCCTAATTAGAATAAGATGTACATGCTTGTACAACTATATCAAAATGGATTCTACTGTCATATATACTAAAGAAAAAATAAATAAATAAAACGAAAACCAAAAAAAAAAAAAAGACCCCAAATTTGATTTCAATTTCACATCTTGCCATTAAAATGTCTATCTATAGTTAAAAGAGAATAAAATCATGGTATTTGCAGGTATATGGGTGGAGTTGGAGAATATCATGCTAAGTGAAATAAGCCAATCCCAAAAAACCAAAGGCTGAATGTTTTCTGGGATATGTGGATGCTGATCCATAATGGGGGTCAGGGGAAGCATGGAAGAAATGGAGGGACTTTAGATAGGGCAAAAAGGAGGGAGGGAAAGGGAGAGGGCATTGGGGTAGAAAAGATGGTAGAATGAGATGAACATCAATACCCTAAGTACATGTATGAAGACATGAATGGTGTGATTCTACTTTGTGTATAACCAGAGACATGAAAAATTGTGCTCTATATGTGTACTATTAATTGAAATGCATTCTGATGACATGTATAATAAATTAGAATAATAAATAAATTTTTWAAAAAACTTCTATCTGCGGGGCTAGGGCTGTAGCTTAGTGGCAGAAATGTTTGCCTGGCATGTGTGAGGCACTTGGTTCCATCCTTAGCACCACATAAAAACAAGTAAAAGGCATGCTATCCATCTACAACTACAGACACACACACACACACACACACACACACACACACACACACACACACATCTATTTGCTATAAAAATTGACTCAATGACTAACCCAATAATGAAATTATTAGAAAAATGTTCATTATAGGGTAAATGGAAGATAAGAGTAAATATCTTCCCATATATTTTTCACTTGAATACTTTACAAATCATGTTAAGTATCTCAACTGAGATCATGCCAAGTCAGATATAAGAAAATCCAATGACTCAGGAAAATGTCTCAGACAACTTAACTGATGTGTTACAAATTTTAAAATTTAGCTAAGTGATTATCCTAAGTAGAGAGGAATCTAATACCTTTCTGCAATTACCTAATCAGATGCAAAGCTCATGATTTTGTATCCTCCTGGCCCTAAATGAGTCTGTGACAGAAGGATGATAGGTTGATTCATGGAGTCCACACACAAAAGATCTGTCTGGGCATGGGGTATTCACCAACCCAATAAATTCCAAAAATAGCTAGAACACCATCCTAGGAATAAGATTATCTCACTTCAAAGATCTCTTTACATTACAGCCACTTGCACTATACTTTTAGTTCTGAGTTTGGTCAAGAGACCAATTACAGAAGCTAGAGTTGTAGCTCAGTGGTAGAGTGCTTGCCTAGCATATGTGAGGCACTGGGTTCAGTTCTCAGCACCACATGTAAATAAATAAAGGTCCATTGACAACTAAAAATATATTAAAAAAAAAAAAAAAAGACCAACTACAGAGTGAAGCAGGGAAGCAGATTAGGTCTGGTTGAGACATACGACACAATCATGTAGCACATGATTGACAAGGGCCATATATACCTTGTATTCACAGATCTTTAAAATTGTTTCCTACAATTCAATTACACATCCTCTAAAAGACTTGTGTGTGCATAAATTATATAAACAAGTACACTAGAAAAGATTGGAAAGACAGTAAAATATTAGCTATGTCATCTATACATAGTAGGTTTACAAGTCAATTCTATTTTCCTTTTAGCTAATCTATTTCTACAATAATTATGAGTTGCTTTTGTGAGTAAAAAGGGTAGAGGGAGAAGGTTTTCAAAAAGCCACATTAACATTCAAACTTTAAGAATTCAAATTCAGGGGCTGGAGTTATGGCTCAATGGTAGATGCTTGCCTAGCACGTGTGAGGCACTGGGTTCAATTCTTAGCACTGCATATAAATAAATAAATTTTTTAAAAAAGGTTCATTGACAACTAAAAAATATTTTTAAAAAAATTCAAATTCAAAACTTCCTATTTTCCTCTTGAAAATGTTTATGTCATAAAATATTTATCTTTGGCTCCTTGACATCAGAGTTGTAGTACATGGCAAGACTAGCAAGCATCCACATGAGAGGTTCTAGCATTTACCTTTGGGGTGGCATTAGCAGGTCCACAGGAAAAAGGAAGCCGTAAACGAACCGGCTTTCCCCGAGCCTTCTTGGCCAGAAGAAGAAGATAAGTTGCTGTGAGGTGATCATATTGCCACTGGAGGAAAAAGAAATCAAGCTGTTTAGATGACTAAAATTATTTGTTAATGTTCTATTTAAAACATTATTAATATCTACTAAAACACTATTAATTTTTTTCTCAATGATCTAGACATTCAGGATTTTAAAAGTCGACAGCTTTACAAAGGCATATAATGACAAATAGCAATCCTTTATACCACACCTCTAGACTCTTATAATTTTCACTTCACAGGAAGAACAATTTCTAAACACTTAGCTATTTTTTCTGCCATTAATTCTAAATTTCTAAATTAACTGCTTATATAGTTTTAAGCTTTTTCAGCTTCAGATATTATCCATAGATTTCCTAGTATGGAAAATAAGAAGTTAGCTGCACTATAAGACATTCCCTTCCATACACATCTCTCTGAATCCTCCTATTGTAATTTTATCAAAATTTTTAGTTGGATTAATATTTACATTATGAGTATACAAATATTATTCATAACTAAGTAGGGATAATTTTCTAAATATTTAATTGGTACACTGACACCAACCAATCAGAAAAGAGGCCAAGCAGTGACCAAGGTACCCAGGGACTCCTGCCATAACAATTACTAACCTTTTAATTGTGGGATGTAGGGAAAGTAGTGCCTAGGTGTGTAAGAAAGGTAACAGGGAGCATACTTGTGGTACTGCTTTTATACCCATCAGAATATAAAGACTCTAGTATTTTTTTTAAAGTTGTAGTTGGACAGAATACCTTTATTTTATTTATTTTTATGTGGTGCTGAGGATGGAACCCAGCACCTCACACATGCTAGGCGAGCACTCTACCTCTGAGCCACAACCCCAGGTCCAAGACGCTAGTATTTTAACAATCAATATGGCCATATGAAGTATCAGCCCAGAAGCTAAACTACATAGGGTGCATAGGGTGCTATGGTTTGTTTCTTCTTTTCACAAAACTTTGTTTTTTCTGTAGTTAAAAATTTTTAGAGTCCATTGTTCAAATTTAACCAGGAGTTTCAACACTAAAGACTTCCTCTCAATATGTTCACAGCACATCTGCTAACCTGTCTCCTCCCTTCTGGAAACATTCTACCCAAAACCTGCATTTCATGTTCTACCCTGAACTGGCTTCTTACTCAGCCTACCACCTGTCAATCTAGGAATACTTTTCACCTCTATCCTAAGATGCACCCCCACTTTTCTAGGTCCTAAGTATTCCTCTTTCTTGGTTTACACTCTTGTTTTGATGAAACCCATTCTTTAGTAACTTTGAGGGTGCCAGAGAGATAAACTTTTTAAGATCTTGCATGTCAGATACATGAAAGCATTCTAACCTCATACTTGATTCTGGTTTGACCAATTATAGAATTCTAGGTTGCTAATAATTTTCATGGTTTTTGAAGATATTAGGGACCCCTTCAATCTAATATATCTACTGAAAAATCTAGTCTTTCATATCCCCAAGTCTCTTGCTTTGTCTCTGAAAACCTGTTAGATCTCTTTTTCCCCAGCTTTCTGAAAGTTCACTAGAAAAGAAAAGGCCTGGTATAGATCTATTTTCATCCACTATGGCAAGCCCCGAGTTAATCCCCACTTCACCCTTGGAAATTTTATACTTTAGTTCTGAAATACTTCTTTGATGGTTTCTTCCCGTATCCTTCTGTTTTATCTTCCTGCAACTTCTATTGTTTATATATTGGACATTTCTTACTCTTTCTCTTCTATTTTTGTATCTCTTTGTTTTTAGGTTCTACATTATAACTTAATTTTCAAACATTTCTACTTCAGTTTTCACTTCTGTGGGCATAGTTCAGATTTGCAAAAACTGTCACTTGAAAGTTGCTTCTTTTAGTTATCTTTTTCCTATTTCGAGAATAAAACAGCTTCTCGCATTTCTGAAAATATTGTCATTTTAAGACAATTTTTCCCATTCCCTGTATTATGTCTTTTCTGATTATCTTTACTTTTCTTTTCATCTTCCTCTCACCTACCTCACTCCATTTATTTTGATTTCTGACTTTCATGTTAGAGGTTTTCCTCAAATGTCTGTTGATCTTTGGTTATCTGTTTAGTGAAGAATTATATTACACGGCTGATTAGAGCCTCGATGGGTAGGATGAGTGCTGTTGAGGGCTTTTCTCTAAGGTGAACAAACAAGAACCTGAACACATAACCACTGGTAAGTAAGTCTTTCCTCCTGGATGTTTCCTAGAGATAAATCTTATAATATTTTCATCACCTTCATTGAAAATAAGATAAAACCCTGGTTTCAGCATTCTCAGAGTTGAATAGGGAAAGGGTTTAGAGACGGCAGTTTGCTGCTCAATATAAAAACTTTATGTGTCCATGCATCTGTTTTAGAATGGTTGATCACCCCCACTTGAGCTATGTCCGGTTCAAGAGGTAAAAATCCCCAACCTTGTTGCGGGGGGTACTTGGGTGAGGAATAAGTGGCTGCATGCAGCACAAAATACAGAAAGAGATCTAGGGTCCACACTGCTCCTAATATAGACTTTCAATCAATCTGCTTCCAGTCTTTCTCACCTCCTTGACTTCAGAGGTTCCGGGTACTTCTGGTTCCTGAGCCTTTCTGGAACTCCTGGGCACTAATCAATTTGCTTGTTGCCTTTTCCCACTTCAGGCACTGAGCTTTCCACTTTCCCTAAAATGTTGAATCAGTTACCATTTATCTATTTTTTAACTTTGAAAATTTTATTGACATCCCTTTGTCTCCTCTTTCATTATCTTTGTCCTTGTTTTTTTTTTTAAATATTTCTTCAGTTATACACAGACACAATATCCTTATTTTGTTTATTTATTTTTATGTGGTGCTGAGGATTGAACCCAGCACCTCACATGTGCGAGACACACGCTCTACCACTGAGCCACAACCCCAGCCCTGTCCTTGTGAGTTTTTTGCTCCTTTTTTAAAAATCCTTTTTTGTTGCGTTAGTGAGTATTCAGGATGTGGTAGGTGGAAACATATCTCCTCAATCCACCACTTTTAGTTGAAACTTTCTAAATAATGTACTCGTAAGACAGAAGGCTCTGCAAATAACAGTGTTAAATTTTAACAGTATTGAATTTTTTTTTTAATGTTAATGCAGGTTTTTAATTTTTGTGGTACTGGGGATAAAACCCAGGGGCACTCTATGGGCTGAGCTATAGCCCCAGTACTTTTTAATTATTCTTTTTTCATTTATTTTTGAGACAGACCCTACCCAGCTATCCAAGCTGCCCTTGACCTTGCTATCCTCCTCCTGCCTCAGCCCCTAAGGTGATGGGATTACATGTGTGCACCACCATAAATGGTCAGTACTGAGTATTTAATGCTGTGGCATTCCCTCACAAAGTACATGACTTAAAGAAGTCAACTCCAACTGTTTTTATTAATAAATTTTATCATTTAATATTTTAAATGGTCCCAATCATAGTATATGCTCTGAAATTTACAAGATGGCCCAACCAATCTAGTGGGTAAAGTATAAAACACAATGACAAATTATTGTAGAATGTTACCTTTCATCCAGATAAGGCAGAGGGAAAGAAGAACAGAAAAGGCTTCATGGAGAAGGTACCTGGGAATTGCGTGACAACTAAATAGTTATAATCACCCTCAACTTTCCCACAACTACATTAAAGATTTTTCCCCATCTCCCACATCTATTGTGTCCTGTGTGCTAGTCAACTTTTTTTGAGAGAGACACTGCAAATTGATTACAGATAATGGATGAGAAAAAAGCGGTCACTTTCTTATCAGCAATGGCCTAACTTTATCAAGGCACTGGATGTTTCATCACTGAACCACATCACCAGCCCTTTTTCATTTTGAGAGGGCCTTGCTGAGTTGCTTAGGGCCTCACTAAATTGCTGAGGCTGACTTGGAACTTGTGATCCTCCTGCCTCAACCCTCTGAGCCACTGGGATTTCAGGTGTGTGCCACCACAACCCAGATAGATGGGTTTTCCCTAAACATGCCTAGGAGATACACAACCATTCTCTATACTCCCTTTCCCTCAGTTAAAAAAAAAAACTTTTTATAAACTTCTTTAGCAGAGCCACTGTATACTTCCCATTTTGATAAATGCACAAGGGAGTTCTGTGTTCAATAACAGATAAATCAACACATGAGTTATGTTTTCAGGTGATGTCAATCCTCCTGGAGGGTTTCTCAAGATGGGCAGCACTTGTGGTGCTGAACCAAGCACTAAATGGACTGCTCATGTCCGCTGTCATGAAGCATGGCAGCAGCATCACACGCCTTTTTGTTGTGTCCTGCTCATTAGTGGTCAATGCCATGCTTTCAGCAGCCCTGCTACGACTGCAACTCACAGCTACATTCTTCCTGGCCACACTGCTCATTGGCCTGGCTGTGCACCTGTATTATGGTAGTCACTAGCCCCTGGCTACCTTGCTTGCTTCTGATTCTATAGATGACTCTGGTGGTGGTGCCCAAACTTCTTCCTTTCCTCCCCTTAGCAACTGTAATAAGTGCCTTGTGAGAAAAGCTGGAGAAGGGAGAGCAACCAAGTTAGTCTTGAAGTGGTGTATGAAGGAGGCTTCTAGGAGACATGAAGAGTAGATTTGGTTAAGGAAACTTAACTTCCCCACCCACCCCCAAGTTCTTCCAAACTAAAGAATTGGGAGCATCAATACCTAGGCCTAAAAAATAACTCCATTCCTGATGGGGAAGGCCCCCTGCCTCATCTTCCATAAACACAAAATGAGATATGGGTGACAAGTGGCTTTCCTTCCATCTACAACTTAAAAATCTTTTTTAAAAAAGAATAAAAATATATTGCAGGCTCAATATCAGTCATATTTAACTTTCAAATAATTGAGATCTCTTTTTTACATTTATTTTTCAATTGTAGTTGGACACAACACCTTTATTTTATTTATTTATTTATTTTTATGTGGTGCTGAGGATTGAACTCAGGGCCTCGAATGTGCTGAGCAAGTGTTCTACCACTGAACCACAACACCAACCCAAAAAGATCTTTGGAGAGATATACCAACAGAAAATATTCTTTAATATGCTTCATTAGCATTTTCTACACCAGAAGTAAGGAAAGCAACTAATTCATGTTTTACTTTTAAGTTTGGAATATAAAGATTTTATGATAAAGGATACCATGTAAATTTTTTTTTTCTTTTTTGGCAGTACTAGAGATTGAACCCAGGAGCACTCTACAACTGAGCTACATCCCTAGCCATTCTTACTTTTTATTTTAAGAAAGAGTCTTGATAAGTTATTCAGGCTGGCCTCAAATTTTTGATCCTCTAGAGCATTAATCTCCAGGATATATAAAAACCTCAAAAAACTCACCACCACCAAAATAAATAATCCAATCAATAAATGGGCAAAGGAACTGAACACACACTTCACAGAATATAATCAATCAATCAACAAATATATGAAAAAATGTTCAACATCTCTAGCAATTAGAGAAATGTGAATCAAAACTACATTGAGATCCCATCTCACTCCAGTCAGAATGGAAAGCATCAAAAATATAAGCAACAATAAATATTGGCAAGGATGTGAGCAAAAAAGCATACTCATACGTTGCTGATGGGACTGCAAATTGGTGCAACCACTATGGAAAGCAGTATGCAGATTCCTCAGAAAACTTGGAATGACACCACCATTTGACCCAGCTATCCCACTCCTTGGTTTATACCCAAAGGACTTAAAATCAGCAAACTACAGTGTCACAGACATATCAATGTTTATAGCAACTTAATTCATAATAGCTAAACTATGGAACCAACCTAGATGCCCTTCAACAGATAAATAGATAAAGAAACTGTGGTATATACACACAATGAAATATTACTCAGCCTTAAAGAAGAATGAAAGTATGATATTTGCTAGTAAATGGATGGAATTGGAGAATATTATGCTGAGCAAAATAAGTCAATCCCAAGGAAGCAAAGGCCAAATGTTTTCTCTTATATATGAATGCTAATTCATAATAAGGTGGAGGATAAAGGTATTTTAGACTAGACAGAGGGGGCTGAAGGGAGGAGAGGAGAGGCTTGGGGGTAGGAATGATAGAATGAATCAGACATTATTACCCCATGTGCATATATGATTACATGACCTGTATAACTCTGCATCATGTGCAACCAGACGAATAAGAATTATATTCCATTTATGTATGATGTGTCAAAATGCATTCTACTGTTATGTATAACTAATTAGAACAAATAAAAAAAAAAAAAAACTGTGATCCTCCCTCATCAGCTTCCTGAGCAGCTGAGATTACACACATGCACCATTGTCCTAGCTGAGTATGTTACTTTCAAGATTCTGATTTTAAAAATCTGTGGATCTCATAAAATTTTTCCTAGATAAAATGACACAATATCTGGGATTTTCTCTGAAATATTCCAGCTAGAAAAGGTGAAGGGAGAAGTGGTTAGGATATAGTTAAAACTGGCAAAACATTAACAACTGTGGAAAAGTGGGTGATGAGTGCATTGAAACTCATTGTTAACACAAGTTTCTTTACTCTTGTAGGTGTTCAAAAATTCTAAAATTTTAAAAGAAAATTTTTGTATTGGACACACAGTCTTCTATTTAAGATCATCCCAAAGAGAAAGGCATAATTTTTTTTCAAATTTTCTTTGTTTCAAGAATAAAGACATCATATCTTCCAGCAATTTCCAATTCTTGCCATTCTTCTAAAGGCATTCCCCATGAAACAGTAAATAATACTTAGATTTTCCATTCATATCCCAGAGTCTTTGTTCATTAGATCATTCATTTTAATCACTAAAAAGAATTATGCTTTAAGTAAAGCTTTATTCAATTTTTTTAAATCTAATTAAAATTTCTACCTTCCAAGTTGGAGTACAGAAAAAACAAACACAAATCATAAGTGACTTAAGACAGTATGAAACACAAGCAAAGCTAGGTATGATCCTCGCCTATCACATTAGATTGCACTCAAAGACAGCTGTGAATGCCTGTCTCTAGGGGAAAAAATCCAGGAAAAATCCAGACATTGAGCATCTAAAACATTTTAAAATGATGCAACATCAGAAATCTTGATAATTTCATGGTATTTATGTTTCTACCAGGTTGTTTTTTAGTTAAGAAGAAAACTGTACTGTATTTAACTCACTTTTTACAGCAGAACCACAATTCTATGTTAAGAACTTTAAAGTAGTGAAAATAAGAACTGTCAATTCTCTGTGGATTAGTTTGCTCTGTTCCTTAATTATTTATCCCCTATCAGTATCTTTAATCAATGTCTTAAGTAAAGAGTATTCATGTAGACAAAAAAAATTTGCATTGAAACCATGCATAAGTACAATATTTACATTGATGACAAAATTACAGGTCTGGAAATGCTTTCTTATTTTAATATACTAATAAGATAAACAATGAAACAAAAGATATTATTCTTAAATTCATGTTGTATTTCTTACCAATGAAATTAAATCCTCCATTGTTTGCCTGTTGTTTCTGTGATGTACAGAAAGTTCAGTTACGCAATCATCATCAAGGTGAATAAACTACAAAAAAGAATTTTGTAAATTTGATTAACAAAAAATTACAAATTATTTGTTTTCAAACTTAAAAATCAGCATAATTGTTTTATAAGACCAAACACCAACATGCTAAAAACAATATGAATTTGTCAAACTTTGGGGTCAACATCACTGCCCAGCATTCACATTCCTTAAGAAAATCAACATTGCTGAGGCAGTGAGGGAGGGGGAAAGTGCTGGGGAGCGATACTAGCTAAATTATACTGTTACCTGTGTACATGTATGAATATGAAACAACAAATCCCATCATTATTATGACTACAATGAACCAATTAAAAAAAATGTAGAAAAGAAAGAAAATCAACATTCCTTGAGTCTGGTTTTTTGGTTTGATTTTGGTTTTGGTTTGGTTTTGCAGTGTTGAGGACTAAACCCAGGAACTCATTCAAGCTAGGAAAGTGTTCTACCTCTGAGCTACATTCCCAGCCCAACATTCCTCATAATTTTTTAAGATATATAATCAATTAACAATAAACATTTCAAGATGATAGGTTTCTTTCCCAGCTCTTCTTATCCCACTTGTCAATTGACCAATTGTTAAAATGCCTTTGTGCAGCAAAGAGACTCGTACCCCTTCCCAACTGTAAGAGCTACACTAACATTTTTATCAAAGAGCAGCCATCAAGTCAGTGGTACAACAGTGTGTTTAAAAAGTGGCTCAGACCTCTAGCATATTGTACCTCAGGATATGTTTCAATCAACACAAACTAGGAGTCCCCTTGATGATGCCATAGATGCTTCACAGTAACCACTGTGCTGAATATACAGAAAACCATAATTTTTAAAGAAATGAATCAGAGTTTCTACATAAATTTCATTTTACTTAGGGATGGAAATTGTCAAAGTATTAAGATCCCTGCATCATGGGACTGCGCCAAAAATGAACTGAATCAGATCACTGAGAACAAAAAGGCAGGACCTAGAAAGGAATTCAAATGATCACATTTGAAGAGAAGCCTAAGGAAAGTAATTTTAAAGTTCATCTTCCCAAAGTAAGACATTCTCTTCATGTTAGCCCCAGGAAGCAATGTTTTACTTCCTGCTTCAAGTCCTCTTATGCAAGAAACTCAGAATCATTCAGATGGTTAGCTTTTCCCTGTTGCCTGAGGTCTGTCTCCCTTTGACTACCCACTATGAGTTGGTATAGCCTAACAGCTAACAGATTTTCTTTTGCTGTTGTTGGGTTTTTTATTTGGTACCAGGGATTGAATTCAGGGGCACTGTACCATTAAGCCACATCCCAGCCCTTTTTTATATTTTATTTAGAGACAGGGTCTTGCTCAGTTGCTTAGTATCTCACTAAATTGCTGAGGCTAGCTTTGAACTAGTGATACTCCTGCCTCAGCCTCCCAAACCACTGGGATTACAGGAGTACACCATGGCACCCAGCCCAGGTTTTGTGATTTAACAATCTTTGATTTTAATTGTGATATCACTTTATAATTATGTGACCATGATTACACCTCTAAGTCTCAGTTTCATCATCTGTAAAAGGAAGATGGTACAGTCTTTGCAATATATGTAACATATGGGGAGTACCCAGTACAACATTTAAGCACACTAGGCCCTTACAAAATGGTTAACTGTTTTTACTGATAGTTTATTTCCTCTTTGTTAGAAGACCCTTTCATAAATTTGAATATTGCTATTATAGGCAAACTTTCCTCTCCAAGTCTGTGTGTGTGTGTGTGTGTGTGTGTGTGTGTGTGTGTGTTTTGCTGGGATTGAACCCAGGGCCTTGTGCATGAGAAGCAAGGACTCCACCAACTGAGTTATATTCCCAGTCATCCAAGTTTTTTATTTTCCAGTTTCTTCAACCACTGTTTAAATGATTAACTTCCCTTATCATTTTTTAAATTATTTATTTATTCTTATGTGGTGCTGAGGATCAAACCCAGGTCCTCACACATGCTAGCCCAGCGCTCTACTGATGAGCCACAACCCAGCCCCAACTTCACTTATCATTCTGCCACTTTTTTTTAATATTTATTTTTTTAGTTTTAAGTGAACACGATATCTTTATTTTATTTTTATGTGGTGCTGAGAATTGAACCCAGTGCCTCACACATGCTAGGCGAGCGTACTACCACTTGAGCCACATCCCCAGCCCGCTGCCACTTTTTTTTAGACCACAAATGCCAGGTTGTCATCAATCTTCAAAATGGGTATTCAATGGGCAGGAGTTGTGGCTCAGTAGTAGAGTGGCTTTCCTCACATGTGTGAGGCACTGGGTTCGATTTTCAGCACCTCATATAAATAAATGAATAAAATAAAGGTCCATCAACAACTAAAAAATATTAAAACAAAACAATGAGGTATTCAAAACCAAACAAAAAAGAGGTTTGGTCAGCACAGCAGAACAATAGCATGACTTTCCCTTTTTAAGGACATACTAGTAACAATAGGTTCAAGAGAAAAATCATCATGCCATCATAAAAAGAGAAAAACAATAAAGACAATGACTTTGCTGTGGTCTGAATGTTTGTGTCCCCCTAAAATTCATATGTTGAAACCAATGTGACAATATTAGGAAGTAGGGCTTATAAAAGAGGCCTAAGAGAGATCCCTCTCTCTACCATGGAGGAATACAGTGCAAGGGAACCAACTATAAATGAGAATGCAGACCATCACCAGACACTAAATGAGCTAGTACCTTGATCTTGAAATTTGAAGATTCCAGAAATGTGAGAAATAAATTTCATCCCTAATGCATGGTATTTTGTTACAGCCACTTGAATAAACTAAGACAAACTAGCACTGTTGGCTGGTTTAAGCACAACCTCATGTGTTACAGTCAAAATGAAGACTACAAAGGTTTAAAATAGTGGTACTTTGCAAGTTAAAAATGCTAAGAATAAGTTTTCATTGTGTTGCTTTGGGCAGCTCCCAGAACTGTAGTTTTTCTCTTTTGAATGATCTCAACCTCAGAAGCCCAAAGAGTTTAACACCCAGTTTAGTATCTTCTTATCCCTGTCATCATTGTTGAAGTCTTTAGGGATTCTCTCCATGATCTTAAGCTACTCCCTTAAAAAAAAAAAAAAAATCCTCTCTCCTCCACAGCCTCCTACTCTATACTTTTACTACAAGGTTTGTATAGCAAGGGTAAGAAGAAGGTGCTATCTTTTCTGCTGGGCTCCTGAACTGGAAAAATAAAAGGGGTGGTAGAAAAGACAAAGGGTCCAAAAACCATGGCTTATCAAGATGGGCTTTCCAAAGGGGCTCTATACTTTGTTTTATGTGCTCTGAATTCTCAGCCACATATATTCGAATTAGGTTAAAAACAAAAATGCATATAAAAATCTAATCAATTGTTTTGGATTATCCGTGCCTACTACATTTCCTGTTCACTAGTGTAGAAAATGGAACTGAATATAACTTCTATTTGATACAATACTTGGGTACTAGATCTGTGCATAGAAATAGAAGGAGGAAATCATGTATTACATGATTACAAAGTTATTACAGCATGTATACCTTAAATATCCAAGTAAATATAAATTACTTTTTATAACTTATTCTTGATAAGACAACACTGAAAGAAAAAAAAACAAATATTTCAAAAAGCAACAACAATCCCATATAGTTCTTCTGTATATAAGTCATTTGATCCTGCAACAGCTCTGGAAAGCAGACAAAATAGAGAAGTGGTACTACATGTAAAAGTACTCTATAAGTGGCAAAACAGGACCCAAACATTCATAGGAGATTGACATCAAAATACCAACATTAGAGGTGATAAAATGAAGACTACTGATATCACCCAAGACCACATTTTTTCATTTCTAGCCCAAGGCTTTTTCTATCATACCACAATGCCACCTCTCTATGACTCTGCTCTAGTAAAGACCAGGTGTGCATGTCTTGTCACAAAGGATGCAAGTGCAGAGGATACAGGCCCCAAACTTAAACCAGTTGACCTATCAGATTGATTCTGTGCCATAGCTCTTCTGTCTGGATTCAAATCTTAGTTCTGTGCTTATTAGTTGTCTGAGTGTAGGCAAGTTACTTAATGATTCTGTGTCTCAGTTGCTCCATTTGAAAATAGAGGTAATAATACTTACTTCAGAAGGCTAGTGTTAATGTGAGGATTAAATGAATTACAAAAAAAATTTTTAAAAGTCTCTAGCACAATGCCTGACTCTTAAAGATATTATTCTAAGAATTGTATCTATATTATAGGGTTGTATAATTATTCTACTAATTATAGTGGCCCTTATTATAATAGAAAACTATTATAAGTACTTAACAAATATTGGCAATTATTAAATTAAGATGTAAGGAAAACCATGTACTCTGACAACACCCAAAACTTTATATATTTTACTTTTTAAAAATTCTTTACCAGTATTGAGGATTGAACACAAAGGTGTTCTACCACTGAGCTACATCCCCAGCCCTGGTTATTTTTTATTTTGAGACAAGATCTCACTAAGTTTCTGATGCTGGCCTCTAACTTGTGATCCTCTGGCCTCAGCCTCCCAAAGAGCTTGAATTATAGGTGTGCGCCACCAAGCCAAGCTATGTATTTTATTTTATACCAAATAAAAAACTTTTGGGTTTTTGAAAGAGACTTTCTTCATTTTGGTATGTTTTCTGTGTATCCTATTCTGTCAGGATCATGGCTGAGAAGACATGCAAAGCCCTCCACACATGGAGAAACAATGACCCCCAATGGTTGAACACAGGCATTTGTACCGCCCACTCTTTACCTTACAAGGAGCACATCAGTTTCGCTGGCTCTTTTCCTGCATAGTCCTTAGGCTCTTAGTGTTGATAATTACTAGGATTAAGTTGTGTTTGCTTGATTGCTATTAAAGATATCATGGAGGGCCAGGAAGAATATGAAGAAAAGAAATTCTAGGAGTTGAGAGTCAAAAGAGAATCAAGAAGGATTTTAGTGCAGATTGCATGGTGATAATTGTGGGGAAAAGACTGAGAAGGGGCTTGAACCAAGCAAAGTCTATTTTTCCAAGACCAGTTGGCTACTGGGATTGATGTAATTATTCTAGAAAGCAAGCATGTCTGAAACCACTTTTAAACAATTCTGTTGATCTATTTGCATATCCTGCTCCACTACAGAACTTTTGGTAGAACATCAGAATATCCCCAACTATCTGAAAAGACTTCCAAAATACTTATCCCTTTTCGTATAATGTATGTATCCGAGGCTGTATTTTCTTCATTTGTTTCTTTTTTTTTTTTTTTAAATGAGTCAGAGGAGAAGTGACAGGAGCAGGAGGGAGGAAGAAACAGGCAAAGGTAGGATTTCTTTCTTTTTTTTTTTTTTAAGAGAGAGTGAGAGAGGGAGAGGGGGAGAGAGAGAGAGAGAATTTTAATATTTATTTTTTAGTTATCGGCGAACACAACATCTTTGTATGTGGTGCTGAGGATCGAACCCGGGCTGCACGCATGTCAGGCGAGCGCGCTACCGCTTGAGCCACATCTCCAGCCCCTCTTCATTTGTTTCAATCAAAAAACATAAATGGGCTGGAGTTGTAGCGCAATGGTAGAGCACTTACCTAGCACATGTGAGGCACTGGGTTGGATCCTCGGTATCACATAAAAAGAAAGATACTGTGTCCATCTACAACTAAAAATAATTTTTAAAATCTAGTAGTTTACAATTACAATTGTAAATTTACAATTGTAATTTTACAATTTACAATTCTTGGGACTAGCAATTTGGGACGGGTTTAACTGGGCAGTTCTCACGCTGGTTTTGCTTGGCTTCGCTCATGTGGCTTCAGTCATCTGGTAATTTTAGCAAGGGTGATTGGTCTAAGCCCCATTCAAAAGAACAGCTATTTGCTGGGCCACATGAGAGGCAAACTCTCTACCACTGAGTTACAACTCCAGCCCAAGCTACTAGATTTTAAAGTACTTTTTTTTAAATGTAGCAATAGTTAACAAATAAAACAAAGTATCCACATTCTTTCATATCAAGATTAAGATGCCATTTGTTTAAAAATAGATTTTATAGGAATAATATTTAAATAATTGTTTAAACATGAATAGCACTTTATGCTTTTTGAATTCTCCTGCTTATATATTAGACTGTTTTTCAAAGTGTGATCTGTAGACCCCTAAGGGTCTCCAAAGTCAAAACTATTTTTATAATAATACTATTTTTTCATTTTTCAAAGTCCTGACATTTGCACTGATGGTACAAGAGCAAAGCAATGATGAATAACAATGCTGGTGCCTTAGTAAAAATCAGTGTGGTGGCACCAAACTGTACTAAGATATTGTATTTTTTGTTGTGTACTCACAGTTCAGGAAAAAAAAGCCAGAATCTCTTTTTTTCTTTTCTTTAATGGCTTTCAACTTTTTGTTGTTGTTGTTCTTTTTGGCTATATATGACAATAGAATATATTTTGATATAATTTACAAGCAAGGAATATATCTTATTCTGGTTAGGATCCCATTCTTACGGATATACATGAAGGTGGGATTCCCTGTGTTGTTTTCATATATGTACATGGGGAAATTATGTCAGATTCATTCCACTGTCTTTCCTTTTCCTACCTCCCTGCCCTTCCCTCCATTCACCATTGTCTAAGCTACTGAACTCCTATTCCACTTACTATCACCCCCTTATATGTGGGTTAGCTTCCATGTATCACAGAAAATATTTAATCTTTAGCTTTTGAGGACTGGCTTATTTTACTTAGCATGATTGTCTCCAGATCCATCCATTTGCTGGCATATAAAAAGGTACCCTTATACATTGCTGGTAGGACTGCAAATTGGTGCAACCACTCTGGAACACAGTATGGAGATTCCTCAGAAAATTTGGAATGAAATCACCATTTGACCCATATATCCCACGCCTCAGTATATTCCCAAAGGATTTAAAACCAGCATACTACAGTAACAGCCAGTTTCAATTAAGTACTTGACAGGGATTGGAATTGTAGCTCAGTGGTAGAGCATTTACCTAGTATGTGTGAGGCCCAAGGTTCAATCACCACCACCCCCAAAAAAGTAAACATAATTAAGTCCTATTAATTTTATTAAGTTTCAACCTCAAGTACACGTTTTTATTATTGTGTGTGATAAAACACAAAGTATGCATGATGTGATTCTGAACACAAAAGTGTGATGGCTGTCTGGAGGAAAAGCACCTGTGTGGCTGTTACTAGCTCAATTAGTCTTTTTTTTTTTTTCCATAGAACACTATTTTTATTTGAAAAAACACTGAAAAACTATTGTTATTAATTTATACTTGGATACTTAGCAGACATTTTATCAAATTTAAAATAAATTTGTTACCACAAGGAAATTAACTGACAGTATTTATTGCCAATGATATAATTTGGACTTTTTTTTTAAATTACAATTTTGGAAAACTTGTATCTGCCACCATGAACTTGACAGCTTTCCAATACTTAAAGATTTTTCTGATGAGATTAATAGTGATTTTTAAGGAATGTGATTTTTTTTTGAAGTGTTGGAATGTGATTTCTTAAAAATATTGTACAGTGAAATGTATCAACATCGGGAAGATCTGCCCAGCTCAGTGAACAAGAATTTCCCAAATGACCAATATATGGGGAAGAGTCAAAGGACCAATGAGTGGATTTTTTGGGATAGAGTATAAAGAATTCATTAATAATATTTCAGATTGCACATGTAACTAATCTTTAAAAATCCAAGGTGGGCACAGTGGTATACACCTGTAACCCCAGCAGCTTGAGAGGCCAAGACAGGAAGATCATGAGTTCAAAGCCAGCCCCAGCAACTTAGCAAGGCACAAAGCAACTCAGCAATATCCTCTCTCTAAATAAAATATAAAAAAAGGATTGGGGATGTGACTCAGTGGTTGAGTGTCCCTGGGTTCAACTCCAGAGAGGGAGGAAGGGAGGAAGGGAGGGAGGGAGAGAGGGAGGAAGGGAGGAAGGGAGGGAGGGAGGGAGGGAGGGAGGGAGGGAAGGAAGGAAGGAAGGAAGGAAGGAACCAACCAACCAACCAACCAACCACCACTTGTCAAGTTTTAATGGAGTATCAAGAATATCTGAAAGGGCTATTAAAATATTTCTTCTTTTCCTACTATGTCTGCATGAGGCTACAGTTTCTTCATGTATTCTTTCATCAAAATAACATATTCAGACTGAATACAGAAAGTCAATTATACAGGTGTCTTCTATTAAACCAGACTTTGTTGTTGGTGATACAAGGAATTAAACCCACTGAGCCACATTCCCACCCATTTTTGTTGTTGTTGTTTGTTTGTTTCCTTTGAAATAGGGTCTCATTAAGTTATCAAGGCTGGCTTTGGTTTTGAACTTGCAGTCCTCCTACCTTGGCCTCTGAAACTGCTGGGATTACAGGTGCACATCACTGCACCTTGCTTAAACCAAACTTTTTTAAAAACTGCAAAGATGTAAAACATGCCACTCTTGCTAAAAAAAAAAAAAAAAAAAAAAAAAAAGAATTTTTTAGGGGCCAGGGAGCACTGGGGATTTAACCCAGGGGTGCTTTACCACTGAGCTACATACATACCGAGCCCTTTTTATTTTGAGACAGGGTCTTATTAAGTTGCTAAGGGCCTCACTAAATTGCTGAGACTAGTCTTAACTTGCAATCTTCTTTTCTTTATAAAAATATTTGTGACATGGCCAGATGCAGTGGCACATACTTATAATCCCAGTGACTCAGAACACTGAGGCATGAGCATCACAAGTGTGAGATTCACCTCAGCAACTTAGCAAGACCCTAAATGGCTTAATGAGACCCTGTCTGAAAAAAAAAAAAAAAAAAAATGTGGCTCAGTGGAGAGGAACCACTGGATTCAATCTCCAGTACACAAAAAAACCTACATTATTATACGTATGTGATAGGTTTATTACTGTTACTTTTAAATGAATAAATAAATATTAAGATGTAAAAGAGTCCTCAAACAAAAAAGTTTGAAAACCATTGTAACCTCATAACTACTTGGGGAAGTAGAACTGATTTAACCTACTTTTTACAGATGAATAAATAGGTTTAGCAAAATTAAGTAACTTGCCCAGTACTCCCAGAGCATTAATCCTGACTACACATGAGAAATACTGGGAAGCTTTTAAAGCTTTTAAAAATACTCATTAGGTGTTCTTGGGTGCGGAGTAGGTATTGTTTTATTTTAAGGTCCCAAGTGATTCTCATATGTAGCCCAGGTTAAGGAACTATTCAATGTACTAGAGATTATCAAGCAAACATATTATCAGGTATAAGTTTCCTAAATAATAATATCATGAGTAAACCTACAAAATGCATTTGCATTTGTATTTAGATTACATCACTGTAGATCCTGAATTCACACAAAGATCAAATATTTTTTAAAAATTCCATTGGATTTCATTTTACTTACAGGATTCTTGCTTTGCCACTCAACAGGACAGTTGTAATCTTGCATGATCCAGGGATGGTTTAACAGATTTTTCATAGAAATCCGTTTCTTTGGGTCCACCTAGTGGTCATTAAGAAGCAGCTAGAGATTAATATTTCAAATAGAGAACATAGAACACCTTTCCTCTTGAGAACTCAAAATGTACCAGAACAGATGTAAAGTTTATTATCACAAAAATGCTGTCAAAGACCTTAAAATGGCCTTGGAATAAATTCTTTTAAAAAGGCAATAGGGGCAAGAAAACTATAGCAACCAACACAGGCTTAGAAGAAAAATGTTTAACAAACATGAACTTCATTGGTATGGACATTATTCATGAAGTTCAGTCAATCTATTGTATGATGTAATAGTCTTTTGCTGGAAAACCTATTCACGGAAAATATTCACCAATTTAATATTCAAGCAGTCACAATGCAGGGCATTCATATTGAATAAGCAATCTCTACCTCCGATGAGCTTACATTCACATAGAACAAGTTGAAAAGCACACCTTTCTTTTCCATTTGTAATTTTCAAATGTGAGGAGAGAAAAATTAATCAACAAAGATTAAGTTTTTGGAGTCCAGAAGAAAGGATGAGGCGTTTTCAATCTCATTATGGAGATTTGGTGGTCTGGCCCTACTTAATCAAGGTGGGTGAGCCTGAGGTAAATTTTGAATAAAAGAGATGGAAATGGCTTAATAGATGGAAAAAGTGGAAGATATTCCTGAATACATAATGAATAAAATATTGCACTAGTAAGATACTCATGTTTTCAAATGGTTTCATAGCAATCTCATTTTATCCTTCTAATACTGCATAGCAGTGAGGCAGGCTCAAAACTCCTATTTTATAGATCAACACCAGTTTAGGTTTTGATGAGTAGGGTGGATACCTAGACTTCAGTACTCCTATCTTTCACTCTTGGAGATTCATTCTACTAAATCAGTGGTTCTCAAAGTATGGTCCCAAGACCACCAGCACCAGCATCATCTGAGAGTTTGTTTGAAATGCAAATTCTCAGCCTGGCCCTAGATCTGTTGAATCAGACACTCTAAGAATAGGGCCAAGTAAGCTATGTATTAAAAGCCCATTGAAGCCAGGCACAGAGGCACACACCTTAATCCCAGTGCCTCAGGAGGTTGAGGCAGGAGGATCACAAGTTCAAAGCCAGCCTCAGCAGGCACTGAACAACTCAGTGAGTCTCTGTCTCTAAATAAAATACAAAATAGGTCTGGGGATGTGGCTCAGTGGCGGAGTACCCCTGAGTTCAGTCCCCAATACCCAAATAAATAAATAAATAAATAAAAGCCCATCAGACAATTCTGACACACACTAAAATTTGAGAACCACTGAACTAGATCACAGGACTCCCTCAATTGTACACCAGCTTGTTCCAGCATTCGCTCAGTGTGTTCTGTATATCTAAAATTCAAGGGTGGGAACAAGACAATGGAAGCAAGTGAAACAAGAGCTGATTAAAAAAAAAAAAAAAACACTCAAGAAAAAGTAAGAAAAACCATATCAGATCAAAAAAATGGGGGTGGAGGTGTTACATCATTAAGAAAGGATCCAGCTAGGGGTATAGCTCAATGGTAGAACACTGACTTAGCATGTGAGAGGCCCTGATTCAATCTCCCATAAAAAAGAACAGAAAGGAAGGAAAGGGGGTAGGACTAGTGGAGGACATCTGCAAAGTTGATTTGATAGATGGAATCCTCTTAAAGCTATTAGATAGTGATAAATGTGATAGTAAAATAGATACCTTAAAGTTAAATCAAACAATTATAATAAAAAAACTTTTATTATTTTTAACAAAGGTTACCTGCAGCATTTGTTGAAGAAGCAGAATGCTACTGGGAGAGAGCCACTTAGGAACATCATATTTCCCTCTCTACAAAAAGCAAAGAAGACATTTATTTTCAATCAGCCTTGACCCAAATTTCAAAAGTAATAATATACTACAGGTTTAGCTTCAAATTTGAAGACTTTACCCAACTAGGAGATTCAGTAAAATTATTAATAATAAGAAATCCATTTTCTTGCCTTAAAGAAGAAAATCCAGCAAATTAAATATCATCATCACCTCTAAATTATTCAAATGAAAGAAAAGGACTGGAACACAGAGAATGTAACTGTAGAAAATGCAAATGTTATAGGGCTTGAGAATTCATAGTATGAGTACATAGACAACAAGTAAACCATTGTACCCAATTTCATTGCTGAAGCAAACTGGAGTTTATAATCTCAATTATCAGTTGAAAGTAATGAAGCCATAGAAAATAAATCTGAGTGATGGGAATAAGTTCAATAATACAGTGCTTACCTAACATCTAGGTTCAATCCAGGAAAGAAAGGAAAGGGGAAGAAAAAAGAAAATAGCAAAAAAGCAAAGCAAAGTATATTTTGTAGCAGGACAGAGACTGTGATTAAAAATAAGTCATATATCTTTCACAAGGAAGAATTTATACTCATTGAGACAAACTGATACAAGCTATTTTCTAAAGCAAGTACCTTTTCTGGGAAATAGACTCAGGAGACAAATATTTACAACTCAGTGTACTCAGAAATTATGATCACAATGTCATCAACTAAAGAGAAGACCAGGGGTTGCTAAACACTCGTACATGTTAGAATCCTTCTTTCCCTGTTCAGAGGAAATAACACAATAATTTCTCACAGAAGAGATCAAACTGTTTAGTGATGTACCAGGCGCAGTGGCACATATCTGTAATCCTAACCACTCAGGAGGCTGGGCAGGATGATCTCAAGTTCAAGGTCAGCCTTGGCAACTTAGCAAGATCCTGTCTCAAAATAAAAAGGGTTGGGAGTATGGCTGTGAGAAAAATTAAGGTTGAACTGTCATTGACAGTACATCATTAATTTCATGCAGATTAAGTGAAAATACAAAACCATTTTAAAAGATCTCATAAATAAGAAAGATGTCACAACCACCAAATATTTTCTTCCCACATTTCTCCTGTCAGTTAATGGAACTGTGCTCTACTAGTTTATCGAGCCAAAAACTTTGGAATCATTGTTACCCTTTCTCTCACACACCACACTCAATATCTACTGGCTCTGTTCAAAATGCATCCAGAATTACTTACCCTCTACCACCAACCTCAGTCAAGTCATCTGGCACACTGCAATAGTCCCCTAACTGGTCTTCCAGATTCCACCATTGTTCCCCAAAGTCTAGATTCCACTTACCACCACCAGTGTTCTTTGAACACATTGGGTTAAGTCATGTCACATCACTACTTAAAACTCTCTAATGGATCCCCAACTTGCTCAGAACAAAATCCAAATTCCTTATACTGACTCCAAGGTTACTCTCCTTGCTACTTTTCAAACCTACCTCCTCATTCTCCCCCTTAATCACCAAACTACAGTCTGAAGAGAAAACAGTCTTGTCTTCTGGCCTTTGTATCCACTGTTCCCTCTGCCTGTAACACTTTGGCTAGGTATTAGCAGAGCCTATGCGTTAATCTTCAGGTCTCCACTTGAATGCCAGTGATGTCAGTGAGATCTCCCCTTGAGCCCCATAGACATCCTCTATCTCCCTTTCACATCTAATGTTCTTTACTATACTTATCACCACGTCATATTATATTCTATTTATTTTCTGCCTCACTACATTCAAATATAAGCTCCTTAATCATAGCAATTTTTGTCTACTTTGTCCATTTTGTTCACCTAGAATAGTATCTGACCCTTGCATGGGCTCTATTTTGTTAAATAAATGGAGGAATGAGGTAAAAAGCATATATTACAAAAGAAAATGGACAAAGAGGGGCTGGGATTGTGGCTCAGCGGTAGAACACTTACCTCGCACGTGTGAGGAACTGGGTTCAATCCTCAGCACCACATAAAAATAAATAAGCAAAATAAAGGTATTGTGACCATCTACAACTAGAAAAATATTTTTTAAAAAAGAAGAAAATAGACAAAGAATAGTCACAGTTAAAATCCCCCCCAAAAAACTTTTAAATTGTGAATAAACAAAAAATATGTTCAATTAATCTAACAATATCAATTTAAGTAAAAATATTATCTACTTACTGTCTATCAAACTATCAAATGGACAAACTTTATTTCTTTCTTTGACACAGGGTCTTGCTATGTTGCCCAGGCTGGTCTCAAATCCCTGAGCTCAAATGACCCTCCTGTTTCAGCCTCCCAGGTAGCTGAGACTGTAAGCATATATATCCAGCTTTCAAGCTGACAAACTGTTAAAAAAAAAAAAATTCCAGCGTTCATAAGAGTTTAGGAACAAGAATGATTATATATCCAACTAGAAAGTATGAACTTTTCTGAAAAGTAATTTGGAGATACGTATTAAAAGCATTAAAAAGTGGGGGGAAAGCATTTAAAATTACATAGCCTTGAGCCAGCAACTTCACTTTTAGCAATTTATCATAAGCAAATAATCTGGCATACAAAAACTTATGAATAGGGCCGGGGTTGTCGCTCAGCAGTAGAGCACTCACCTAGTATGTGTGAGGCCCTTGGTTCGATCCTCTACACCACATAAAAATAAATAAAGGTATCGTGTCCAACTACAACTAAAATATAAATGTTTAAAATTAAAAAAATTTTTAAAACTTATGAATAGTAACATGAATTGTTTACGATGCAATTGAGAACTAAGAACTATATATGGCAAACTCCAAAAGTCTCCAAAACTAATAAAACAAATTCCTAGTCCAGAGAAACAAGGACAAGAGCAAAAAAACGAAAACAAAAAAATGTAAACAMTATCCACATTATGTTCAACCATAAAAATGGGATCCTAATTAGAATAAATGATAATCCATGGATGTATATGTCCAAGTACACTCTACTATCATGAATATCTAAAAATTTTAAAAAAGTAAAGGACACTAAATAGGAGAAGCAACTGATTAACATCAGCATTTGGTTTCTGTGTTCTCATGAACTATCTAGGACATAATTCTTGCAAAAATCAGTCCAACTGAGGAGAGAAACAGATGGTATAGGTCATTCAGAGTCCTAAGACCACATAGGAGGTTGGATTTCCATATCAAAGAAGCAATCTGAGTCCCAAAGAAGCACAAGCAACAAACTTACACAGAAAAGATGCCAATGTCAAAGCAACTCTGATGAGAGTAAACAAACTAACCTAAAAAATATATTTTAGAAAGGGCAACTGCTTTCATTTTACAGATGACGTTTGAATATTAAAAATTTCATCCTCCCTCTATCTAAAGCACTCAATATGATGCAGAGGGCCCACTCTTACAAGGGAGCCTTAACTCTTGCCAGAATCAGAAATTAAAGATTTCTGAACTACAGTGAGGAAGTTCCTAATTCTTTTTTTACTATTGCCACTCCTATATGGCCATCTGAACCCAAATGTGAAGACCCAGTACTATCTGTTCCACACATATCCCTAGAAAAAAGGGATTTTTAGTCGGGCACAGTGGTGCATTTCTGTAATCTCATTAGCTCAGGAGGCTGAGGCATGAGGATCACAAGTTCAAAGCCAGCCTCAGCAACTCAGTGAGGACCTAAGCAATTTAGCAAGACCCTAAGCAATTTAGTGAGACTGTCTCAAAATAAAAAATAAAGTAACTCTATTCTTCCCTAGCCCTCTCCCATTGTGAATTAACATTCGCATATCAGAAAAAACCTTCGGCCTTTGGTTTTTTCGGATTGGCTTATTTTGCTTATCATATTCTCTCAAAATGCATAAATGCATTCTAATGTCATGTATAACTAAATAAAACAAATTTTAAAAATTAAAAATAATAAAATAAAAAGGGCTTGGGTATAGCTCAGTGGTGCCCCTGAATTCAATCCCTAGTTCCAAAAATCAAGAATGGATTTTTAGATGCTTGGGCCAACTCTCTGGGACTTAGCATTAAGTTACAGTTGTTCTATTATTGGCCCTGGCCTAGATGGCTCCCCTCTTATAGCTGAGCTTTTCCTTATTCCTCAAAGCAAGGCTTCTCATGATCTCAACCCTGGGAACTTGACTTTTCTCATTTTTGGCAGACTGCCCATTTGCCTGGTCTCAAATATTTCAGCTTGCTCTTACCAAGGTCCCACAGAGAATAGAGACCAGCCTGGAACAAGGACCCTCCTCCCTTCTGATCAAATGCTCATGGCCTACCTGAGTTTCTGATTGCAGCCTGCTCCTAGTGTGTCCTCCCTCATGCTTCACTCACTGGTCAAGACCTCCACGTATTCCAGGTGGTCTTCCCTCACAGTGACCACTTGCAGTGTTATTTGCTGCTTACTCTCTGGATACCATCTGTGCTGAGCTGAACAATATCCCACTCCCCACTGTGCAAGAATAAATTTCTTGATTTAAGCCACCACACTGTAGTACTTTGTTATAACAACCCTAGGAAACTGATTCACCATCTATAAGGGTTTGGCTTTATATTACTTCTCTCCCACTAGCATTACCCACCACAGGGATAAGTCTGGATCTAGGTTCCAGCTCTTTCTCATCTGCTCCAAACAGCAGGCCCATAATCCAAACCACCAAATTAAAAGAAATATTATGCCTTAAAGTTCAGAAACTAGGGACTGGGGTTGTAGCTCAGTGGTAGATCACTTGCCTTGCATGTGTGAGGTACTGGGTTTGAATCTCAGCACCACATAAAATAAATAAATAAAGATATTGTGTCCATCTACAACTAAAATAAATTAAATATATATATATATATATATATATATATATATATATAATTATTTTTTAAAGTTCAGAAACTACCATGCAAAACAAAAGTACTAAAAGTAGAAGTACTCCACAGAACCTGATATACTTTTACATCAAAGTAAAAAGTATTACTTTTTAGTATCAAAAAAGTATTGAATGAAGAAAGATCCACTAGACTTATTTCAAGTTCCTTTTTTTTT